TGTGGAAGGCAGCGCCGAAGTTTTGTGATGAGTGTAAGGTCGCACTTTGACAAGGACTTGCGCCATGTCGAGATATATGACAGGTACATCCTGTGTAAGTAACACGTCAGCGGAAATCTGCTGAGCAATGCAAAGTGCTTGTAAAATAACGGAATTTCCCGGCCTGAAGGCAAACTGTTCATCTCGGATGAGGTTCAGCGAGATACTCTCGAATACCTTTCCCATAACAGGAAGGAGACTGGGGGGAGACTGGAGGGAGACAGGAAGGAGATTGGCCAATGGCTCGCAGCGATCGTTAGATCCTTAACGGGTTTCGGAAGCATGGAGATACGTGCGAATTTCCAATTTTACGGAAAGTACCACTGTGTAATGTAGCTGTTGTAGATTCGCGTTAATTAGCTCCGTGTTTATGATCAATAGAGCCTCCTTAATAACGGGAGGACCTATGCGGTCAGGTCCCGGCGCCTTGCGACTACGCAGGCATTTAATTGCAGTCGAAACTTCGTCGACTGTACAATGTGTAAGGGTATTGGCGCTGTCGTCCGTTTCCTTCTCATCTACCGCCTGTGTAGTGTTGTTAACAAACCTCTCTTCAAGCATGTCGGCAAACAATTCTGCCTTGGCTTGATCTGAGAAGAGATATGTTTGTTTACCCTCCGCATTGTCGTGGCCACGTATGGCGGTTGCGGTTTTAGCTACTGACCTGCTAATGCCGTTTCGAGAATGATTAGAACCGTTCTCTCTCAACCGCTTTTCCTACTCGGCTGCGCGATGCTTTGCGAGCGCCTTTTTCAGGCGTTTTTCGCTTTCTTGCAGCTGTGTTCTACGTTCACGGCACCTAAACTGCTGCCGCATAGCTAAGTCGCATAGCTTTGCGTTTTTCGTGCGGAGAGGAGCTTCATTTATGTCTCAACAACTTAAATTCTTTTTAATTCCGCAGAATATTGCAACAAACCGAACTACGCTCTAAAACCCAAAAGAAAACATACAAGTTGAATGGTTCAACGGAATTATATGAAATATTGTCATGTTGGCTCTTCGAATCTGAGCATTGGAAAGAAGTACTTGAATCTGCTTTACGTTCCATTTCGTTCGTTAATCTCTGCACAGCGATCAATGTTACTCCTCACGAGCGAATGTTCAATCATCCAAGATCTTTTAATGGATGACACCAACACGGCTAACTAGTACTGGACATGTTCTAATGAAAATGAAAAAAAAAAAAAAAAAAGAAGTTCGTGGCAGTAAATACGATTTGCTAGTGGAGGAAGTAGAATTACTAGATGCAAATCCAGAATATGCCCGTGTATTACTAGCAAATGGCCGAGAAACTACTACCTCAACACGGCATCTTGTTCCTCGAGAAGTGCAAATTGGCTTTCCAGAACCGCCATCGGAACCAGAGAGACCAAAATGGAAACAGTAGATCCTGAACAATCGCTATCGATAGAAGATCGGTAGGGATCGACCTGCATATTTGTCAATGTGACTGGTTTTGGAGGGAGGGGTGAATGTGGTAATATTTAAAATTTTGTGTTGGTTGCTGAGAATTTTGCTTGCCAGTGTTTTGGTGGAATATTCAGGCGGTCGCTTGCCATATATTGTAAGAATGTGGATGTTAATTGTGTAAAGTGTCGAAATCAAGTTTGTTTTTATGCTTAGATTTTATTTGTTAAAACTTTGAATAAAAGGTAATCATTTTCACAACATTAAGCATCAAAATTATTTTGGCGTTGGTGAAACCGGCCGTCTCTCAATCACTGTTTCGGCTTCTCCGGACGAAACTACGGCCGCTGCCGTATGTGCATTGACCTTCGCCTTGTCAGTCGGATTTCACCTCACCTGTCCTTAGCTGTGGTTTTTGTATCAATTCCCTTGCTGGTAATCATTAGTTGGTGATTCAGATGTGTGAGATTTGGTTCAGCAGTGTTTGTTACATGAGTATTGCAATGGGGTATAAAAGGAAACAAATGAAAAGAGAAAATGCACAACGAGTTTGCATTAGTATCTGCGAGAGAAGTATATTACAAAGGTCACAAGATGATGTTTAATGTAATAGACAGGAACTGTGTTCGGAAAACAGTGAAGAACAAACGCAGGAGTGGACGGTCGCAGTTGCTGAGTGAACGTGGCAGAAGAAAAATTCTTCACAACTTTAAAGTAGTAACTCGAAAACTTACAACTCCAAAACTTGACACGCGAAGTTTCTCCAAGTACTATTCGCAGACTAAGAAACTGTTGGAAAATTTGGGGGTCTAAGAAATACTCGATCAAGGATGTTAACATAAAAACGCTTAGAATTGGCAAAACTAAACTGTCCCTAAGAAAAGTGGAACATGTTGATATTTACTGATGAAATTAAATTTATTATTTTGGTTCGGATGAGATGGATGGTGTGGAAGGGAAAACTTTACATTTTCAGAGAACCGCCAGCCCACAGTGAAATATGGAGGTGGATAAGTACCCATCTAAGGATATAAGAGTGCTTCTGGTGTAGAAGAATCTTCACATCAATGGCACAAAATGAGCCAAGCAATGTATATCAATATTTTGAAAAGTGAACAACACACAAATACTGAAAAGGCTGATCTCAAGGACAATATCATTTTTAAACATGACTATGATCAGCTGCGGATTTATGTAATTTGCCACCCTATGCATATATTTGTTGCACCCCCCGGGTTATTTTAATGAAATTTGATGTTTCGAGGCAGAAAATATAATTATAATTACAAATAAATTATATTGTTTATTTTAAATTTGGTTTTAATCACACATTAATAATATTTTAATGTAAAATTATAATTGCTTTCGTCGAACTTTATGCTTCCCAAATTTGTTAATAATATCACAATCTATTTGAAGTAAAATATATTTTACATGCCAAAATGGAAAGTGAATTTAATCTACTTTCGCTCATTGTTGATTTTAAGAAGTTTTCGATAGGGTTAAAATCGAAAACGATTTTTCAGCCGATCGATTTGAGATGGGGCGAATTTGAAATGGGGAAGGACGGGCACAACGGCCAGTAGGTGGCCAATGTGCCCGTATGCGCTCAAAGTTGTTAAGGTCACAAAAGAAAAACAAAAAGTTATGAAACGCAAAATAGCCAAAAAAATGTGAAGAATATCCATAAAATCCAAAGAGAACAGCTAAGAAACCTCGGGTCAACACTGCTAAAAGAAACATATTTGAGGACACCGATGATGACGATACAGAATGCTTATATTGTTGTGAAAATTTTTCAGTTTCAACGTCAATGAGCAATGGGTCAAGTGTCCAGGATGTGGATTGTCGGCTCTTGAACTGTGTGCAAGCGCGGGGAAGAGAACGATGGATTTATACGTGAAAACTGTTCCTAAACTTACTTTTCATTATAAAAATGTTTCCTTTTATAGATAGTTTTGGTAAAAAAAATTGTACTCATGATTAAAATTTCTTTGTTTAGTTTAAATGAGTAATCTTTACCTTCACAGGATCGGTACGTTCATCAATATCACTGGGTTCAGGTGAAAATGTCCCCCCCCCTCACGTTACTATAGTGACTTTCGGTCTTCTAAATGTTTTAAAAACTTCTAATTTAAAACCGGTTTTCTTTATTACGCCATACCTCTGTGGGCATAATGGCCACTTGGGTACTTTTAAGGAAATTAATTATTTAGGTACTTTCGAAACAACGAAAAAATTAATACACATTAGAATGGTTAATGTGCGTTTTCTATGATTTTGAAGTTTCTTGATGAATTGAAAATAAGTTTAAAAATTAGATAACCTCAGCCCGGCCGTTATACCTATTCTTTCTCTATACATATACACGCGAAAAGCGGTATTATCAACATTCGAAAATAATATGTAAAGGTCAGTTCAAAGAAACTGGAGCAAATCCTGCAGCGAATTTTTTTCCAAAACTTTATGATAAAAAATAATTAAATTTCACATAAAAAATATTTTACGTTTAATTTAACATTCAATAAACCTCATAATCTAAAAATTAAAGTTACACAGAAAATTTTCCGCCTTAGCCACGAGCCTATATAAAGCCGCCATTCTGGTCCAAAGCATTGGAATATAAGAACGTGGTTCAGTTTTAATACACAAAAAATCTGCAAATGCCACCGCAGTTTTCAAATATTAATTCTATTGAACATTTAGGGGATGTTTTGGAGAAACAAATCAAGAAAAGATTTTTAAGAATGATCTAAGGCGTGCTCTTCCGGAAGAACGCGTGTCATCTACGACAAAACGCGATTTATTGATGTTTTGAGGGCGCTTCAACTGCTATGATCATTGTGTACGTAAGCTTCCGCGGCTCGAATCCATGAATTCTCGGCTATCCGGGAGACGCCGCGTCGTCGGCTGGAGTGCCGACGTTTCGCCTGACATGTCGCAGGCTTCCTCACTGCCCTGAGTAAGCCTGCGACATGTCAGACGAAACGTCGGCACCCCAGCCAACGACGCAGCGTCTCCCGGATAGCCGAGAATTCATGCTATGATCATTGGCGCTCGTGACAGGTTAAAAATTTACGTTATTTGATAAATGGATAAATGAATACAATGTTTAATGTACAATTTTACAACAAGACTTAGTGAAATAATCTTACAAAATGCTGCTTGGAAATTCAGGTAATAGAGATGTTATGTAACATCTCCCCCCCCTTCAAACAAAAAATGTTTAAATGGCTTTCCTACGATCTTTTTCATGCTGTTTAGTACCAAGGTGTAGTTTCTAGAAGCAAAAATTAATATTGATTAAAGTCTGACAATAGCTAAAATTTGTTAATGGCTGGCTATTTGCAACATTCTACAAATACGAATTCAACACTTTTAATAACATTCAAATTTTTAAAAAATCCTATTGTTTATGGAATTTTTTCAACACAATTGTACCCAAACGAGGAATTCTAATAGTATCAACTCACATGTTTCCTGATTTGATTAATATGCATTATTACAAAAATGTTTACAAGTTCAATATAATTCAAAACAGTTGGGTAAATCGTCCCCCCCCTCCGCCGCTCAATTCGAAATCTATTTTTTTTTCTTTCTTTTTTTCTTCCCCCCTTCATATTCGTCTTCCCAGAAGAATTGGGCAATAACATCAGTTTTAAGGTTGTGAATAAAGTGTGGACAGGATGTAGTAAAAGAATAAGAGTATAAGGAAATTAATCATCTTTTTCATCACAATGAAACACACTTTAAAGAAACCAAATATATACATGTATATACTTAATATTTCCAAAAATTACATACTTGTATATATTTTGATTTTATCAATATATTATGTATATATATAGCATTCATATAGACATACATAATACAGATAAAATTATATACTTTCACAAAAAGAATCTGTTTTGAACCTGAAGCATCACACTTCTTTCTCAAACTGCATATTGCTCAATGTTATAGCTTGCAGTGATATACATTTTTAATGACAACTTATGAAATATTATATCCTTAATTTCTAATTAGAATAAAATGTCTTCCTTTAAAATTACAAAACTTATTCTCAACAATGTTCAAAATACATGCCTTTATCACATAAAAATATAAAGACATTATTACATGCACTGAGTCTATGAAATGTATCACATTTTCCTTTTCCAAACAGACTCACAAATGATAGAAAAACAAGTCCACAAAGTTCATACCCAATTGCACTTCTATACTAATACATCCTATGTGATTGATCTTGTTATATTTGGGTTATTGAGGCTTATGACCATATTACATCAATATACAAGATTTATAGTAGCGATAATTTTTGGGGGAAAATATTAAAAAAACTTTATTTATTGAAAAATTCAATAAATATAGCCACATTCAAGGGTATAAACTTTGCTGTTACACAATGAAAAGAAATAACAGTGCTAAGACAAAGAACTTATTTACAATTCCCATTGAATGGCAGGGTAATTGCCAGGAATATATATTTCCATATTAATATATATGTATATAAAAATAATACATTTCACAATTTTAAGAACAATGGCCATCAATGCAGAATTAAGTCCAGTAAAGCAGTACAATTTCAACCAGCCAGCACAGAATTCCTTTTACATTAAAAACATTTCTAAATGGAGTCATATGTACGATTACTGACTATCACAATAAAATAATATGGATATTCACATTTAACTCTTTCAATACTACAATGTACTTAAACCATTAGTTGTTTAATGCTTCTAAGCTTCTGTTCCAATAGTTCCTTGAACATTAACTTTATTATATAAACTGCAGACTAATATGCCAAGTATGATGAAACATTTGGCCTTATTCTCAAAAAACTACAAAATATATTATATAACTATTACATAACACAATACTCTTAAAATATGAATCACAGCTATGAAAAGTATTCAACACAATATAAAAAACATTCTCTCTAACACACACACACACTAAATCAATTGAGTGTTCAATGATCCTATTAGATCAATTTACTACAACTACACTTTTAACAGCATGAAAATGCACTCAGCTGTTTGGGTGATAGCACATCAAAGGCTATGATACTGACATTTAGACCACCATATCTTGCTCTTCTACTTGGCTGGGAATGCATTCCAGCCCTGTAAAATACAACATAATGGTTGAAACATAAGCAACAGAGCCTTTCACATGGCCTCACCACAACAGTCAAGATCATTTACATGACTCTTGCTTTAGAACCTTACGACATTATGTAGACAAAGATGGACGAGTTAATACGCCATATTCATAGGCATAACTTGTTAATTTGTGAATCAAGATATTTAGCTATGATACGACAATGATATAAGTTTTGAAAAGCAGCAGATTATGCATGATTTAATAATTACAGATTCTTGATCTACAGCTGCATTATTAGTGAAGGACATGAAATGAAATAATTAATAGTAATACAGATATTATATATTTTAATACATCTCATGCATTTGAAGGTGTAAATATAAAAAGGGGGAGGGTGTCTTAATATAACTGTACTAAGTAACGTTTTGAGCACTTATGTGGTTTGTTTTATGCACCAACTTCATCATATAACAAATATCAGTATTTTACTTTTAAAACAATACTCTACTGGTATTTTCGGTTGGTATTTGCATTCCTTACAGTTAATCTTTTAAGAAATTGCATTATATATGTTTTGAAGATTTCCTTTAAATGGCCTTAAAATGTTTGTTTTTTATAACACATTTAAAAGGAAACAATAGAGTAAAATTCAAAACTTTTGAGATCAAAATACACTACATGCATACAATCTGAATGATTAAGATACTTTGACTAAATCTTAATTCAGATCACTCTGAGATCATAAAAATTACAATGCATCATTATTACTGAATGTCAGTACTTCCAACAAAAATGGGCAAGAATAGATGTACATAAAATGAGCAAACTAATTGTTTTGTAGTATGCTCGACTCTTAACAAATTGATGTACCTTCATCAGAACAGCTGCAAGTACAACATTCTTCTAAGATCTAATTCAACATAGCAGTATTACAAATTCACTTCACACCACTTTAAGAATAAATGAAGATCAGAATTAATATTTTGTTACTTTTAGTTCCGAGTATCATTCATGCTACAATGCGACCATTAGCATACCAAATATTGCATCAACTAAAAGTTCTTGTGGTTAGGTTTTTCAACATTCTGATAACGACAACTATAACTAACAGGTTTGCAGCAATGTCAGTGTTATTCTAAATACTACCAGAGATTAATATTATTACAACCATGGCTACAAAATTGACAGACTTTATTTACTTGCTTTTCTACTTTTATTACCAAACTGCTGCAATTATCATTTACATTTGATATTCTTGCTGTGATCATATTTATTATTGTTGTCATTAATAAAGTTTTCATAGATATTTAATATTCAACCTCCTTTTGCAGTAAGATTATGCAACAAAAAACATCCTAATTTCCCATGACAGTTTTAGCACCTAAAATGGCAGTGTTGAATTATGTAGTGAGCTACAATATTTTGTTAATAAAATGGTCATGATTTTACACTAACAAGACCCGAGCCTCTGGCTCTAATGAACACGATAACTAGGGAGAGAAAAAATTACCAGTGTGGTAATTACATCACTTGCGTATCTAAACATATTATGGTACATAACCTGAAAATACATTTGTGTATCCCTAAAAGTACATTCATGACATTACCAGAAAACTGGATAATTCTGTTCCTGAAGATCACTACATGGATACTACTCATCATGTTTTGTACTGAATCTCATTTCACATAGACATCAACAAAACTGTTTTAACATCCATTCATTCTCCTTGTGGTAAAATAATAACCACATTAACTGTCCTTGAATCACTAAAAAATTGAAATTAAAGACCAATACACTATCACAACCATGTTTTTGAGAACAATGTGAAAATTGAATTTATGTAATACATATGGTTTGTTCAAGATGCTTTATCAGATGACATTATAAACACAAGGAGGTTGTAATACACAAAAGGAGTCATGATTTAATAATTGATTAAATACCCATTCACTCGTTCATCCATACAAATAAAGCACATTTATGTATATCCATTCATCCACTATATACTCAACTCTTTCAGTAACTGGATGGAAAATAATTTTTTTTCATTAACATTATTAATCTAAAGAAAATAACTAAAAGGAAACTACACTTCGATCAACATCAACAATGATCCACGTACCACATGTAATTTGTTGGTCTGATTGCCTTTAAAAATGCATTAGTGATACAATTCTGGTAAAACACATCCAGATATTTGTTCCCTGCATTTAAATCTATATTTCAACAGCACCAATTAATTATGACTCATTTCTGATTATTGCAAATCTGAAAACTGGCTGGTTGATTGATTGAAGTATTTATTCGAGTACTTTAACATATTCAGTCATAAACAATTCCCTGTGTTAAACAGGGTATAAATTATGCAATAATGGATATAAATACAGGTTAACCTAGCTGTCAATACATTTGACTAGCTGGATTGAGTAAGAACACTTAAATTACCGAATATCAACTGCACACTGCCCTGAATTGCTAAATGGCTATTATATTTCACTACGACAAACTGCAAGTTCATTTCAATATTCTGTACAATTTTAAGTCAGTAAACAAATTATCACTGACAGTATTTTTCTTGTTTCACTTCACACAATATTTTTTGGGCAAATGCACACTATATGCATATTCAAGCAAGAACGTGCTCTGAAATTGGAAATTTCAATGAAATATTAAGTTAAAGTAAGTTTATGTGGACCAAGTATATCAATTCTCGGTGTTTGTTGAACTCATATTAGCACCTTGTGGACCTGAGGAGCAGAGCTTTAGCAAATAAATTTATTTCAGTGGGTGTCCCACTTTATCACAATACAATTTGACTTCCTCTGCATACGACTTGAAAAACAAATAAGTTTATTAAATTAATAAAATTATCTCCTTTAATCTATACAATAAGGATTGTTAATTTTGAGAATGGCAATAGCAATGAGACTAATAAGCCAGGTTCCAACAAGGAAATTGTGCAAATCAACACTATCTAACATTCCTACAAAGCTGCAACATTGCACAGAAACAAGTATTATATGCTTAACATATATTTGAAATGAAACTAATAATTACTGGGCGTGTGTTTGAACACTGAGATTTTGCTGAACTAAAAATTCATATGGAATTTAATAACACAATTAGCTGTAACTAAAGAAATATGTATACATACTCTCACACATATTAAACTGCTGACTATGCAAAAAGAAAATGTTGCAACAGCTTCTTTCCCACTTCGTACTAAGATAAGAGTGAATATGATTGTGCTCAACTGGATGCACAAAGTGACATTCACATAGAATATATTATGTAGGAACAATTCTCAGACTTTAAAGAAATTTTATTTACAAAATGTATACTTCTCCTGGAATTACAAAGATGGGCAATACAGCTCTTTCAATTTGTCCCCATCTAATTTTGTTCCAATGAAACACAAGTTTTTTTGTTTTGTTTTGATGCAAGAATTTTGTAACATTTTAGAAAACAAGTTCAAAGTAGCCATGATTTCAAGAGCACCAGAAAAGAGTTTGCAGTCTTCCAGAATATTTGCAGATGTATGTGACAGAACAAACAGGTTCCATTATACTAAATTTATAAAACCTGACACAACATCTTGGCCAATGCAAAATTTTTAACTATCTTCCACAGAAACATTAATCCCTACTGCATAGAGAGAGAGGAAAAAGTATATATAAAAGGAGATTCAACATTTAAAAGATTCTCACTTTCAAATAAAATCAATAATGGCTGAAAGTAATATTACAAGAGCATTGAAAACTTCCGGTAAATTCCAGAGTAGCAAAATATTAAGTAAATCTATCTGCAAATTACTAATGCCCAATTTGGTATTTAACATAACTATTCCACAAAAGAAATTACCTTCTAAAGACCTTTCCAATGCACCAAATATTAATGAAACTCATGGTTTCAATACACACCACCTCCTATGATTGATGTTTCAAAGCATATAATTGGCCAGTGAAGAGAAATGGTAAAATAATAATAATAATAAATGAAATAAAAAGAAAAGATCTAAAATGCAATAAAAAGTAATAATCTGTAAAGCAATACACAGCTCTAATTGGGGCGTACCCACATCTATTGTTATTATTGGAATTAATTTCATGAATGAAGCAGTTAACAACAGTGACATCTGTCACATCAAAAAACAATTTTTTTCCTTAACTGGTGCAATAATTATTGTAAAAGAAAGTACAATTTCTTTTACAATAATTATAAGTACAAGTAAAGCGTTAAAAAACTTCTTTTTTTATTGTTAATAACAAGTACTAGGGCCTATAATAATTATAAATCAAAATAAGATAGAAGAGTTTAAATTAAGTTCTATTAATTGTTCTTTTTTCATTTTGTTTTGTTTGTTAAATATTAATTATAAATTAATAAACAGTCTACATTAATGATAGAGGAATTGTATTAACACATTGAAGTTTTGTTGGCACTGGCTTAACAAGCAACTGAGCATAAACTGGCCCAATTGAAGCAGAAATGAGCTGAGAGAAAAAAGTAGGGAATTTTAGTATTGCAGTAGGAATTTTTTTGACCGCCCTCTTAAAATTTTCATCTGGTATAATCGAAATAGCCAATTTGGCAAAAAGATGATATTTACAACTGATAAATTTTGGAAAGTGAAAATTTCCTGCATAGAAAAATGTTCTTTAAGGCACTTCACTGAATTTTGGGCATTAATAGCTGGTCCACTTAACTTCAACCCTAATTTTTCACTAAGATTCTTTCAAGATATGAGAATTGTACAGGGATCCCTTTCATGACACCATTTTATTTGCTCTTGTTTAAAATTTGGTATATTTCATTCTCTGGCAACTTTGTAAAATTATTCCATGGAAATACTTCAGGAAAATTCACTTAACAAATGTGCTTAAGCAAGAATTCTTTCACTAGTTTAAAAACTGTCACATACTAAATGACAGAAAACCATCAGAAATAAAGTTTTAGTATACAAACAACTTTAAAAATTATGCAGAATTTAATAAGTACAGACTGTTTTGTGTAATTATTATGTTGAGGCAGTTCCTACAAATGCATTTATTAAAAATCTCATCCAAAGAACAGTATATTAAGTCTATACTACAAACCACCAGAGAATTACAGTCATTCGTTTGACTGAGTTGCAGAGAAACTGTGGCAAAATAAACATCCATTTGGCTTTTGATAATGAGAACTATTATAGTAATCAAATTTATCTTTCTACAACTTAGCTTCTTCACTTTATTAATTTAAATAAAGACATATCTATTTGTATTGAAACAACTCATGACCTGTCAAATTACATTTTAGTTGCACTTTTGCCCAAATGAAATATTGAATTTCCAATGTAAACATCTTTTCTGTCCATGAGCTTCAGGCACATTGTATGTCAATATTCTATGTGAACGTTCATGTTCTAGAAAACATGACAACAAAGTTGATTTGTACTAATCATTAAACAAAGGAAAAAATGTAATCCACTAATACCAACCTCACACAAGAATTCTTATATTATCCATTACGTGAGATAATTACAAAATATCTGTAAATGTAAAAAATTTATAGCTTCTTAGAAATTGAAACACAAATCTTGTGTAAGACCTTTGTAGAAAATGAAGGAAAAAATGAATCAATGGATTCCTAGAGATATACTTTACAATGCTCGCAATTCAGTGACATCACCTGAAGCTTTCTTCTTGTACACATACAATGTATAAAAATGATTGTAGCAACTCGTTAGTAAGTGGATATACGAATCAATGATTAAGCAGAAGCACTGGAAGCTGTTTAGTGCATAAAAAAGTACAATATTCTGGTATAGAATGTAACATATTTGAGGCTCACATGTCAGTACAGAGATCAACAGTAAATTGAAAAGTTGTACCAAAAGAACATTAATTTCATTGTCAATCATTCACTCATTCAAACAAGAACCACTTTCAAAAATGTATTTGGCATCAAAACATATATAGATATATATAAAAATCTATGTATATCAGTCACTAAAGGCACAGTTTCCTCATCAATGCCACAGACAAGAAAGCCTGTATGACTCCTTTCAAATAAGGCAAAATTTAACAGTAGCTTTTAATAAACAACATTAACAATGAACATGCTATATGATCGTTTTGTCTTCTATAATAATTTCAATGAATTTCAAATAATACAGCAAGGCTCATAGTCCAAATTAAGTTACACAACTAGATTTCAAATTCGTAATGTTACATTTGCTGGAGTTAAAGGACGATATCCCAAATTGTGCCAGCTTTCAAATCTTGCAACGTTCTGGGAATATTATTCCAACATTTTTCAGACACTTCAACAACTTCAACCTTATAAAAAATATTGCACACCTTATCAATAATATAAACATCCATATGTACACAAGTAGTCTAATAAAATTTAACAATTTTGTAGTTGTTTATTCTTTTGTTATCTTGCAGTTTTTACCTGAAGGAAAACTACTCTCAATGAAATGATATTTACAAAATGGAACAAATTTCATAAAAGATTTTTTTACAAAACAACAAAATGGGTCATACACAAAAATAGTACTTTAAAAAATATTACTTATATCAGAATTATTAAATTACATTCATATCATAGAAGAACAATAATGGTACATTCTTAAGTTTTATTAACTATTATTAGGATGAAATGAAGATTGTTTCATGAACTAAAAATATACTTTAGAAAATGCCCACTAGGAAAATGATACATTAATTGAATGTAGTTTTTTTAGAATATGTAGAAAGACTTTATAGGTCCTGTAGTGGACAATCTCTTACTTGCTGCTGAATGGGATTTAAATCAAATTCTCAATGAAGACAACAGAATTCATTGATTCTCACAGCTAGAATTTGTATAAGAAATAAAAATACAGAATACACATGAAAGTTGAATATTGTTTGAAAGTTAGACTACTATTTCAAAACTGATTATTGTTTAGAATATTTCAATGGAGAATGTTCACATGGCATATTTTCTTTATATAGAAATGTATGCAAGAGGATCTGTACAATTTAGTTGTAAACAAAACAATGGTCATTCCAAACCCTTGATAAAATGAAAATTATTACAACCAATTTTGCTTTGTTTTGTATACGAATAGTACATAAATGTACTCAATTGAAAATTTCCCTAAAATAGCTTCTAAATGCCACAAAATACCTCTATAAAGATATGTCTGCTGAAACAAAGAGAAGTACATACAAAATATTTTCCTATTTTCACTTGGTGGAAGGTAATGCTGTAAAAAATATTAACTACAAATAACAATGAGCTTATTCTTTTTCTTCTTTTGATTCATAAGCTGAATCTGTAATTTCGCACTATTAAATCGGCGAGTGATAAGAAATATTTTAAATGCCTTTGATAACTTCTCCCAAATAATGTGCTCATGATTTCTTTAACTAGCATCTGTCCCCTTTTTTGCAAAATAATGAGAAGTATTTTTATGTATGCTATTACAATAATAATGTAATGATAATATATTTCCTGAGCATACAAAATATTCGTAGATCTATACAATCAATCATCATCATTGTTATTATTACTAAATAAGATGAAATTTTGTTGTAAATAATTTTCCTACCAAGGAAAAGATCCAGAGTGAATAACAAAAATCTCATCAATTCTGGACTAGTACATTTGGTATTTTCCATTCTATCAAAAAATCATCAATGAAATGGTGCAGCAATATATTACTACTGTGATACATTTTTTAGGTTAAAGGGGTAACGTTGCCCATCATCATGGATGAGTAATTGTCGAAATGGATCACTCACTTACATTAAGGTTCTTTCCTGACCCATCAAGCAGCCAAAATAGATGGTGAATGATCTGCCTCCAGTTGTGAACTTGAAATTGTAAATCCCCAATTTCTTTCCATGATCATCAAGAATGTATTGTCACTCGAACTATGAGAACACAACCAATGATCTGCCCTCACATGTTCTGAGTACAACTATTTTCATTATGAGCAAAAAATATTTTTGCTAACACATTATCCACTGGAGAGAATCTGTAATTGCACAGGGCAAAGAAGCTTTGATAAATGAAATACAAAATTTTAAAAAATACCCTAACTTTACAATAAAGACCAATTTCTTTCATGCATCTTAATATTTTGTGGAACATTCTCGTAAGCACAAGGTGGTCAGACTGACTTATGACACAAATCAATATTATTCTTTTAAGTATTTCTTATATGCTGTAAGACTAAATGCACATTTATTTGAGAAACGTGGGCATTTCTAGAATATGTAGTTCAATAATTCTATTACAAAACATGACTAAGAGGAAATTATGACAAATATGACATGGGTAAGTAATTTTATTCAACACTACACAAAAAATTCAAAAAGAAGGTATTTTGTGTAGTTGGATAACCAAAGAAAATACTTAAAATTTATTATATAGGTGTAATAACGTGATATTTCAGCCTGACATTCCTTCTACATAACACACATTATTTGAGTGTAAGAGAAGTTATCAATATTGAGACCTGAGTTTTGTAGCAACATGTTTTTCCAGAAATAGTTTTCCCTTCATATGAACATTTACCTTTGGTGACCAAAGTTTTACATAATAGAAGAAGAAGGAATGGGAGAAAAAAAAGTGTAAATATAAATGAAAATGCAATGTGCAATAAAACAATCAAAGCTCACTATACATTACAAGATATGGCAGCTCAACAAATTTAACTTAATATTCTTTAACAATAAAATGCAGAAATAAGCAAATAATTTAACTTTTAATTCCTTGCTATGTAAAGAAGAGAGTCGTTCAAGTACATCCAGCACTGGCAACACCTTATATTTCACAAAACCCAATTTAAAAAACCAAGTACTTTTGCAACACAACACTACATCTCTTACCATAACTTTATTATTTTACATCAACAAACTCAAATGCACAAAAAAATGTCCAAAAAAGTCCCGGCACTACACAGCCAGGCACACAAAAACAGAAAACAAACTATTGTGAACACAACTTTTTATTTACTAAATAAAGAAAAGCATCTAATGTCCTTATCCATAACAATTCAGCAAGAACACAGATTTCCAATTAGTACCATAAAGCACCCAACAATATTTTGCCTTTGTTCCCTGGAATGTTAATGTTAAAAGATGAAATGTTAAAATGTAGAAGATAAAATGGTGAACACAAGATTTTGTTACAAATAAATATTGATGACAAAATTCCATAAAACTTTCCAGGTCACACAGATATTTAGAAAATTTCTCCTGCTTACAGCCTAAAGGGAAGAAACACAATTTAATTTAATTAAACTAGATGATTTATATCTCTATGCCCATGCATCTGAAGTCATTACATGTGTAAACTAAGGTCCAATTAAAATACAAATGTGACTAACACATCATGGCATTGCACAGATTGCTAAAATGTATTAAATCTTGTTACTCAGTGCTGCGATTGTCTATAAAAATGCTAATTACATTCTTATTTAATCAAAGAATTACACATCTATTAATTGCAGAGAAACTTGCCAAAAACTAAAGCTATTCTAAGAAAAGCACACATTGAATGGAAATTGTACCAAAGATACAGAATCAATAAATGATATTTGTGCCAGGAATGTCACGATTTTATTAACAGACAAAAAAGCTTTTTAAAAACGTAATGCAGAAAGGCCCAAATATTAAGAAAATAACAGTGGGCTTAAAAGTAAGTTCCAGAACTTAAAAAAACAAAAAAATAAAAATTACCAAAGAAAAAAAATAATTAAAACTAGAATCACCCTCAACTTCTGAGAATGCGGTAATAAAAAGTCACCTGGAATGTAAGGGTTATGAAAGGAACATCAGGATCATTATTGAACCGAAGTGTTCTAAAGAACACCAGAATGCATAAATATCTGTAAGAAGTGAATTCAGAAGACCATAAACAAGAATGTATCATAAAGATGATAAAATACCAGACAACATGAAACATTAGAAACTACTTATGAGGATAACCTGCATTAAAAAACTAACTTTCAACTTAGGTAAGTGAATTCCTAGGAGGATTTAAAGTATTCAAACGGCAAAAGTTTAAACATGCAACAAAGGAAAGATCTTGTAATGAAGGCAAAACACAAAAAATCTCTCAAAATAACAGCCAGCTTCTCGTATACATGACACTAATAAAGATATCAAAAAATACAGGAAGAAGCACAAATACTACAACCTCAACTGTAGAATATACTGAAGCAACAAATAAGTAGTGAAATCACAGAACAAAGAAGGAACAAATTAAATCTGGAGATGAAGATATGGAAAGAGCAACTAAATTTTCCATAAAATTCTACAACCTGAAAATATAGGAACTAACCCAATTGACAAATGCTGCAAAACACCTGTACAGATATTGTTAAAAGCCTGCATACAAAAAGCAATGGCCAGAAATTAATGAAGAAATGTTTTACAGGAAGAAGATAGAACATTGTGTGCAAGTGACATTATAATGACCTTAGTTTATCCCTTTAAGTTCCAGTTGGATGATATTTTCGGATGTCAATCCTATGCCGTTTATTTTTTATTTTATTATCTCTTTTGTTGCCTATCTGTCTTCAGGACTAATGCTACTGTTTAAAACAAGAATAGGGAATAAATAATTGCAATACACACACTAAAACACACACATGCACATCCGGCCACCCATGTCTGCATGTAGACAAACAAGGAAATTTGTATATCTGAAACTATCTTTCTCATCTTTAAGGATGAGAAAAGAGATAACTAACCAAATAAACGCATAGACACAACATGGAATTTTCCAAACTACATACCAATGAGAACCTTGTTTAAAACGATCCTGAGATATGCATTCAATTATTCTCGTAAAACATTTATACAACACATAATGCTGAAATTACATTACAAGAATTTCTTATTAATTTTAAAGAAAGAATATGTATTTAGTGAATACTCTATCTTTGTGTTTCAAATTTATAAAAACTTCAAAGATGTTAATATTAAATACAAATTATTAAGCTTTAATAAAAATGTACTTACATTATATTCTTCTGATTAATTTGCAAGATAAGGACAATATTAACATAAATAAAAAACAAAATAATTCTTTTGAATCGGAAACCACTTAGGGATTACTTAATTTTTCAATGAAAAGTAAGCTTGCATTTTTAATTTTAAGGAGTCATTAATTTCACTCCCAATGATCTTAAAAACCAACAGAGTATGTAAACAGTTGTATCTGAATGTAAACAGTTGAAACAGTCAAGGTAGCAGAATGGTAAATTCAAAACACTAGCAAAGAACACAATATTTTCATTTTCAACACCGGATTGAATTTAAGAGACATACAATACTTAAACATAAAACCAATTAATGTGGAAATCATAAGAAGAAACAACACTTCACTCTACATGATTGCCAAATCTTTGAGACATCATTTGTATTTCTTTACTTTAAATATGTAAAATATGACAAATCTTCAGATGATATTCGAAGAAAGCTGTTCAATTATTTCCATGATTGGAAAGATATCGTATTTTTTAATCACTAATCTGTACTAATAAAATGACTAGTTTCAAAGTAAAAAACAAACAACAAAATGTACGGCGGAGACATCCAAGAAGATGAAAAATGAGGAGGAAGAGAAGTAGTACCTACTAAGAAAAGTGGCATGGGTCTGCTATTCGGGTAGATTAACCATCATTCTACACTCCGCAAAAAACAAAGAAAACTGGTTGTATAACATAATGTTAGTTGTAATTTACAATTAGCACAATCCCAGAATTTCTTGGGAGATAAATTTGCACATTCCATAGTCTCCCCAATATCTCATGTACATCTACCACACTGAGTAAACACAGCTCTTGTTACATACACATTTTTTGAACTTCTATAGAATGCAGTAAATGAAATCTTTTTAAGCAAAGGAAGTAATAATAGCAACATCTAATAATATTGTAATGTTCCCATCTTGAAATTGTATGAAAAAGAATGCAGTGTAGGAAACCATGGAAACTTGAAACCCTGGCAGGAGGAGGACAGGATGCATCTGATATGAATTAAGGGCATGCATCCTGATAAGGCAGATTTTCTGAAACACAATGTTATGTGAGAATGTAATACATATAAAAACATCAATACCTACAAATGTAAGGAAATTAAGAAGATTAAGATGGCATGTGTGTAAATGAAATATCTAAAATTCTTAACTTTTAAAGTGATTGGAGATAAATCATCAACACTAAATTATTGCTATAAAATCATTGCTTTTGTTTCATTGCCATATCATTTATTTGCAATATATAATGCATAATAGTATTGCTAAATTAAGGTTTACTGTTTCTCACTGAAATCACTGCTATTAATACTAAGAAAAGATCTGAAGTATATTTTATTATAATTTGTTAAATCATTTATTTAATAATTCAGAATAGTCAATACACTGTCTTTGGAAATTTGCAGGGAAATTCAATCGTGAAATAATTTTGTGAAAATTTTAAAAATGTTTGTGGTATTTACTTTAATAAAATTTTGATTTTGAAAATATTAAGCTAGTTAATGTGCTAGATAATGTACTAGTTGTACTATAACATTACATGAATCAAGAAAATCAACACTAACATTTGTTCACCAGTATAATTTTCTAAGGTAAATTTAATGTTATATTATCTTTTGGGGAAAAAATTGAATGGATCCTACACATTGTTATAAAATCCTGCAAAACAAAAATTCAATAAATTTGAAAGTTTCATAATATGTTTCTATAGTTTTTATGATGAAAACTAGAAAAACTACTACTCGGTAAAATAATCCTAATCTGCTTAAGAAAATGTTTTGAAGTTCAGTTTTCCAGATGAACCATTTCCTCAAAAGAAAACATGACAATGCGAATTTTTCCTTCATATTCTATCAATTTAATTCTGAACACATCATTTATTCAATACCTGAATGTAATAGTAATGTTTAAAGCTACTAACAATTGACTACAAAACTTTGACTCTACACCCATTAATCACTGAAATGTAAACAACAGATACCATTCCCCTAGCATTTCGATAAAAATAATAGACTAATACTTTTTGACAAAATATAATTGACAGTATTTCCCTAATCAACCTAAATTCAGGAATACATTAATAAAATTCACAACGCCCACAAGAAAACACTGTCAAACACGTGCAAAATATAATTGTCATAATATGCGAATAACTGGGGCAGATGGATAAAAATGTTTAAATACTCACAAGATCTACCTACAGTATTAAGGAAAGTTCAGAAGAAGAAATGAAAAGACAATGATGATGGGCATTAGGCTTATGTAAAATAATATAATGAAAAACAAGAACAAAAACAAATTAACAGTAAATAGAATGTTTGCACACTATGTTTTACAGAATTCTAACGTGAAAGTAAGCATAACAATGTATATTTTAGATTCACTTAATAACACACTCAAATCTTATATTTAGCATCACAAAAATACTTTTGGGGGATGCTATTATTGTAGTTGGGTATTTACTCAATCCAAAGCTTACCATATTCTTGTATTCATTAGAACATTTCAGAGAATTAAAAGAAGAGAAAAAGTACAAAAGCACAAGAAACAAAACAAACAACAACAATATACACAACTTTGGTTACCAAAGCATGTAATGTACTCTTGCTTTTCACAAATGCCTCCATTTAAGAAATTAAAATCAAGTTTTAGTGACCAAGTCACCATTAATATTAAGCTATAATATTACATACTTATATTTTGAATGTTAAGTAGATTCTAGAGGGAAGTGCCACAATTCTTGCAGGGACAGGCGTTGGTTATTTGATGGACGGAGAGAACTTGAAGCATTCACTGCTTCCGGAAATCGTTCATGATATCTTTCGGTGCGCAAGTATTTCACTGTCACCAATTTAGCTACAGAAAGAGAAAAATGCAATTTTAAAAACAAAACAAAACGATGAACAGGCTTTAATATATTGAGCGTAATATACAATTAAACCAAATCAAACAGAAAGTTATTGTTTTCTGATGGAGAGCTAGGTGGATTCTAGATGAAGGCACAATAATCTACCTTGGGTAGAAAAAGATTAAAAAGTTATCAGGAAGATTTCCTCTTGGAAGATTGCGTTCAATGTCTCATTTCTAATAAAAGTTCATTGAAGCATATGTGCATGTACACTACAATACATGCAAATATGCTTCAGGGGTAAAACAAAAACCACAGAAGTGTAAAAGTATTGTGAAACCTGAAAATGATTTTAACAAAATTCAAAAAATTCTAGTTAGCAATGAACATAAGGTCTTGAATATCACACTTGTATTTGTATACTATTGTTTGATTGATTATTAGTGATTCCAAGCATGTCAGCTAGGGTCATTATTCTCGTAAGTGTAGTGCATGTTTTTAATCGGGAGGTGGTGGTGGTGGTGGTGGTGGTGGTGGTCGTCTTCCCCCACAGTAGTATCTGATTGGCTAGCAAGTATTTCCCAACAGCAGGGCACTGCCCCATTCGTGACAGTCTCTAAGCTCCCGACCAGTCTCCAGGCATGTGTGGTAGTGAAGAGCTTGATAGTGGAAATGTGTATAAGGGATGAGCATAAGACAAGGAAGAAGTAGGAAGTGTGTGGTCTGTTTCTTAGGGTATTGCTCCGACATTTGCCTGGAATTGATCAGAGAAACCATGGAAAACCTCCGATCAGAGCAGCCTCTCTGCTAGAATTCTCCTCCAGACAACGACTGCATTCGACCTAACTAACAAGCTAGAGTCGAAAATCCTGCCACTACCAGGGACTTGAACCTAGGATCTCCCAGTCAGAAGCACTGCAGTGATATCAGTTGATGCTGTGAGCCATCTCTCCTGGTCGTATACTTCAGGAATGAAATGAAATTATAATTACAAATATTATTAATGTTAAAATGATCCAAATTATTGGGAGTATTAGGATTAGCCAACTCAATGAGGTGAAAAGATTTGACTCATTGATTTGGTTTATAGGTCACGAACAGTGTCATGGTATTGGTGTACAAGTCAATGTAATTAAAAAAACAGATTTAATAAAATGAGTTAATAGATGGGTAATGAAATAAAAAAAAAATTTAAAAACTTGAAAGTGGCTATTTAATTATTATATACTAAGTAACAAATAAGAGACTTAGAGATATCAAAAATAGTAAAACAATATTGTCCTTGTCTCTCAGTTAACATTATACATTCCACTTTTCCCTGGAAAAGAAAAGGCTCAAGAGCGCGGACTTGGCATTGTCAAGCACCTCCTGAAGAGAGTTGCCCAGACAATTTTTGGCTGCCAACAAACTTTCTACAGTGCAGGGGGATGTGATCCACAGAGAGATCTGTTTCACAAGTCTTGCAGATTGAGGGAGGTTCTCCTTGCAAGAGGAAACCATGTGAGAAGTGGCAATGACCAATGCGAAGACGAGTTAAGGTTACTTTGTCACACCTTGCAGACTAAAGAATATGTACATAATCTTTAACGGTTCTTTTAAGGTTATTTAAAGGTGGTATGATGCATCTGATTCTATATATTTCAGGGCTTGAAGTACAAAGAACTTCTCAGCAGAGAATACACTACAGTATGAGTGAAATTTAAATGAGTGTTTGGCCTTTCTACAGTAGAACTCATGTCACGGAGAGGAGAGAGAGGGGAAGAGGAGAGAGGGTGGGGGAGGAAATGAGGGGAGAGGAGAGAGGG